CGCCGGTGCCGCCGCCGCCGCCGCCGCCGCCGCCGCCGTCGTCGTCGTCGTCGTCGTCGTCGTCGTCGTCGTCGTCGTCGTCGTCGTCGTCGTTGTCGTTCTTCGCTGCCATCGTCGTTGTCGTCGTCGCAGGAGAGAGGGGACGAGAAATATGAGTAGGGGAAAGAGGGAGGAGGATGAGGAGAGAAGGAGCAGGAGGAGCAGGACAGGGCAGAGGAAGATGGGCAGGATGTACGGAGGAGGAGGGGGGTCACGACGACGAGAGGTTGGCGGATGTAGTAGAGGAAGATGCGCGGGAACGTGCCAAATGCGGGGGGGAGAGGAGGTAGTGGAGGACGACCACGCTGACGGCGGCGGCGGCGCCGCCGCCGCTGTCGCCGCCACAGTCGCCGGCGCCGTCGCTGTCGCCGCTGTCGCCGCTGTCGCCATCGAAGCCGTCCCCGTTGCCGTCGACGGCGTCGGTGGCGCGGCCGCGGCGTTCGGCGGCTGCAGCGACGGCGGCGGCACGCAGCGGCGGCGTTCTGCAGCGGCACGCGGCGAATTCTGGCGCCTGGCGGCGGCGGCGGCAGCAGAACACGGCGGAGGGAGGCCGCCGCGGTGCCCGCGCCGGGCGGCCCCCCTGGCCGCTCGGCGCCGCCACGCAGGCGGGGGCCGCGGGCGCCTGGGCGCCCGGGGCCGGCCCCGTCCCTGTGGCCCGCCAGCGGCGACGAGCCGGGCGACGACCGCGAGGAGGACCGCCGTCGCCGCCGCCGCCTCGGCCATCGCCAGCACCGCAGCCGTCGCCGCTGCCGCCGTTGTTGTCTCCGCCTCCGTCGCCATTGTCGTTTCCAGAGCCCTTCGCGTCGGCGAAGAATAGCAGGATGAGCGGTCCTTGGCCGTTTTCGGCCCCCAGGGTCCTCGCCAGGCCCTTGGGTTGTGAAAGTCAGACTCGGGACGGGAAAGCTGCCCCAGGGAGAGGGCCGTGCTCGTCGTGGGTTCAGCATTGAACAGATCAAGACATGGGATATCTGGGTCTCCGTCGCCATCGTCGTCTTCCGTCCCCCCCCCCCATGGCCCTCGCTGTGGCCCGCTGGCGGTGGCGATCGCCGCGGCGGCCAGCAGGGGTCGGAGGGCAGAGTCTGGCAGCGGATTCCCAGGGTTTCAGTGGAGGTGGCCCGCGGCCGCCGGCGGGGGCGCGGGGGTGCGTGCGCTGGGCGGTGTGGACCAGGCATTTGTTCCTCTCCAGGGGTGCCGCGCAGCAGCGCGAGAAATCCGAGCCCCGGAAGGAGCGTCTGAGGGCAAGGCTTTGGGGGGCCAGTCGGTGGCCTGCAGAGGGGCCGGACAGACTTGACCAGCGAGCTCACACGAATGATCGGGGCGTTTTGTCCCGCGTGTAGTATTCCCAGCGAGCACGTCAATGTGACGTCGTGCTTATGCCACTGTGACCACTGCTCCTATATATTATATATTCGCTATTATTCAGGAGGATCGCAGGGCAAATTTTAGTCGTCGCCTTAGTGGGGGTTTCGAAGGATTTCGGGGGTGCGACGGATTCCAGGGGTTCATGGTTGGGAGGTTATTCGAGAGTGTTCGAATGGCAGGGTTTCGGGCCCTGGTGTGTTTTCCAACTGCTGCGCCTGCCTCGTCGAGAACTTTTCACGGTGGGATGGGGGGTGCTCGCCCCCCAGACCCCCTCGGGCAACGAAACAAGCACGACGGGAGGCTTTTTGCCATTTTCGGCCTCTGGGGGCCCCTACCGGCCCTCGGGACCGTCAAAAAGCGATCCAGGATGCAAAGACTGGTCCAGGGGAATGGGTCGAGACCTCCAGGGGTCGACGCGATGAAGAAATCATGACGTCGGGGGTCTGGGTACGCGCCCCCCACGTGCACCCGCGGACATCCCCGGGATGGGGGGGCGCTGGCCCAGGCACGGGGTGCGGGCGAGACCTCGGCAGCTCTCCGGGGACGGCGCCCCCGACCCCCCCGACGTCACGGCTCGTTTGGAATGTGGACCCCCAGGGTGAGGTCGGGCTTGTCCCCCTCTACAGGGGGAACATGCAGGGATAGTGCACATCTCTGGTGACGATGTTTCGTGCTCTCTTGACGATGTTTGAATATTTTTCGACTATTGTTTATTTTCTTCCAAGTCCGCCTGTAGGAAGGCATGCCCGACCTGGCCCCAGAGGTCTCGACCCATCTCCTGGGACCGGTTTCTCATCCTGGGTCGTGTCCTGACGGTCCCGAGGCCCCGTAATTTTGGGCCCCCAGAGGCCGAACATCCAGGAGCACCTCCCGTCGTGATTTTGCCATGGCCCGAGGGGCTCTGGGGCCGGAGCTCGCACGCATTTTCCCCCAGAGCTCCCGCGTCCAGTCGCGGCACCTCCCTCGGCAGGTCTGCCTCGTCGCCGCCGTCGTCGAAGGGTTGGGGGGTCGTTCCAGGTCGATCCAGAAGGACGCAGCACCACGTTGGAGCTGGCGGGGTGTCTGAGGTGGTCCAGCGCTGGTGCCGGCCAGCAGGAGTGGAGGGGGTGAGCTCCGAGGTCCTTCGAAGCACGGAAAACAGCATAAACATAAACTGTTGGCGGTCCGCGAGGATTTCTTCGATCTGTGCTAGGGCCCCCCTGGCGTCGCCTCCAGCGCCGTCCCTAGCGCGCTCCGCGCGCCAGGGAGGGGGCTCCAGCTCAGATCCAAGAAATCCGCGCGGACATCCAACAGTTCATGTTTATGCCGTTGTTCGTCTCTCCAGTTCTGGGCTCGAGGAGGTTTTTGTTGCCTCTTTCGGCCTCGGCTGGCCGTTTTCGGGCCCAGGGTCCCGTCCAAAACGGACCCGGGGTGAAACATGTCACCACATTGACCCCAGGAGGGTTTTGGGAACCGATTCTGAGCGGATGTGCCTTCTGCTTCCCTTCCTGAAGGATCCTCTCACTACTTACCAAAAACCACTCCGACCCAAGCCGAAGACTCCAGACCCTCTCAACTTCCGGGTTGGGGGGTGTACGGGTGCCATCGCGTGCACCAGAAATTGACGATCCCAACGGTGGCTTTGTGTTTGCCCTCCTCCTCCCTCTCCGTTCCTCCCCCCCTGCCCCCTTCCCTCCCCCTCCCACTGGTCATAGCAAGCGCGTGTGTGCCAGTCTGACTGTTACCATTTTCGCGAGCGTGTCAAAGGCACAGCTCGATTTGCCTATGCGTCCTCTCGGGTGCACGGCCTTTGCCTGACTGACTGATTGACTGGGGTGGTTTGGCAGGTCGTCGTTTCTGTTGAGGCCCATCCAGCTCAGACCCCCCGTCCGCCTCGTAGAACCACGGGTTCGGCCAAACGCTTACCGCGGCGAGTGCGTGGACTCCAGGCGCCCAGCCTCTCTTCTCGATGCAAGCCACAGGCTCACGAGAACACGCGTTGTTTCGAAGCGCAGCGCAGCGAGAACAATCACAGGCAAACAAACAGAAACGAAACAAAAGAGTTCAGCTTCTCCGGCGCGCGCAGGCGCCGCCCGCCCAGTGCACGCCAACAGAGTGTCCCGAGACCACCGTGCGGCGCGCCGCGCGGACCGGCCCGCTGCTCGGGCCGCCGCGTCGGGCCGCCGCTGCCGCCGTGAGTAGTCGGGGGCGGCTTACCCGGCACTCTTGCTGGACGCCCCAGGATCGTGAGCCGCAGGGAGGGAGCATTCAGCATCATACAAACCCCTGACCCCCAACCCAAATTCCACGGTGAGCTCGCGGCCTGACTCAGGTCAGCGGTTTTTGTTTCGGGTTATCCCTGCGCATGTGGCTGTTTTCGCTGGTGGCATGTGCAGAAAAGATCCCATATCCTTAATCTTGTTGGACCTCCTAACTTGGGTCCCCTCCCACAGGATCAGGGAAGCGCTTCTGTTGCTCATCCTCGTGGATCTTGGCCTCGCGGCCGCTGCCCCCACGGATGCGGGGTGGCCGTTGCTCGAATGCCCCGCGCAGAACTCTTCGGCGGGATCAATCGCACTTAGGCGCCCAGACCGCGAGGGAACGGACGTGGAAACGTTCGGCCAAATCCGCTCCAAACCGGTCACCGAACCCATCGATCTTGGGTTCTATGTTTGATGGCCTTGGTCTCCCGCCAGCGGGGCCCATGCGCCAGAACCGACGACCAAGTACTATGGAAGCCGCATGTGCTTGGGGGCTTCTCGGCCAGGCATCCGGCGTCTTGGTTTTTCGATACGGGGTCAGCCCCGACCCTTCGCCTAGGGCCAGTCTTCCATGAGGCTGAGAACGTCCAGGAACCTCCCCGATGTGACTTCCTTGTCTTCCAGGGCTTGAAAATAAGGCGTTTTCCTCTTCGTGCTCCCCCTCTTTTTCTTCTTCGCTTTCCATGAGGCTGAGCACGTCCATGTGACTTCCTCACGATCGCGACGCGAGCACGTCCGGCCTCTCAGGCTACAGCTCGGGTCTCCGGCGGCCGCTCGCCGAGGACGCTCCATAGGCGCCCACGGATCGCCCTCGGCGAGGCGCAGCTGCTGGGAGGCATCCCGAGGCTGGAGCACCGCTGGGAGCCGACGACACGGGCGATCGTTTTTCCTCCTCTTCCTCCTCCTCCTCGTCCTCCTCCTCCTCCTCCTCCCTGCACTGCGGGCTTGGCGGTCCAGACGCCGTAGCCCCGCGCCGCGCCGCAGGCCTAAGCGGCCGCGGCCGACGCGCCGTCGCGACTCAAGGCCTCCGAAGTCCTCAGAGATCTCCGAGCGCCTCGAAAAGCCTCCGAGGGGGCAGGGGCCTCAGGGGTCCTCCCTGAAAGGAAGGGGGGGAGGGGTCGAGGTGGAGGGCCGCGGCCCGAAGCCGCCGCCCGCGGCAGCTGCCGCTCAGGCATGGGAGCCGACCTCCCCCCCCCCCAGGGGCCGCCTACCCTCCTCTCTGGCAGGATGGCGGCACGCTCACCCTTGAGGGGGCGTCGACGATGGTGAAGGTGGCGTACTGGTGGGCCGTGTGCCTGAGCGCCAGGAGGTTGCTCACGTAGGCCTCGTTGAGGCCTTGTTACGGCCATGGCGCCGTACCCCGTAGGGCGTTGACGCAGTCGGCGCCCTCGAGGCCGTCGTTGAGGTCGGAGCCGTGGCCGAGGACCGTGTTGCGGGGCGGAGGCTGGGTCTCCAGGTTGGTGGCGGGCGCGCGCCGTCGGAGGCGTTCTGCGTCGTTGTAGCGGGCGTCGCCGTCGTCGGCTGGGCCGGCTGGGTCGTAGGGCAGGTTCTCGGTGTCGTTCTTTGGGTCTTCCTCCTCGTCCTCGGTGTCGTACTGGTCCTCCGAGGCCGTCTCTGGGGATTCGGGCACCGCCTGGAAGGTGTAGATCTCTGAGTCCTCGTTGAAGCGCACCTTGTCGTACCTTCTCGTTCTTGGGGTCACTCCCGTTGCCTTCTCGTCCTTGGGGTCGCTCCCATAGCTCATCTCGTGGCCGCCGATCCGCTGGGCCTCGTACGTGTCGACGTGGTCGCTGACCCACTGGGCCTCGTGCGTGTCGACGTGACTCGCCGATCCTCTGGGCCTCGTTCGTGTCCTGTTTCTCGTGGCAGTTGGTCCACTGGGCTTCGTACGTGTCGACGTGGTCGCCGATCCGCTGGGCCTCGTTCGTGTCCTGTTTCTCGTGGCGGTTGGTCCACTGGGCTTCGTGCGTGTCGACGTGGTCGCCGATCCGCTGGGCCTCGTTCTGCTTCACGTGGCCGTCGGTCTTCTGGGCCTCGTAGGTGTCGATGTGGCCGCCGATCCGCTGGGCCTCGTACGTGTCGACGTGGCCGGTGTTCCGGAGGGCGGAGGCTACGATGATCTCGGCGATCCTGGCTGGGAGGGGCATGTTCAGGGCGGCCATGTGGGCGAGGGTGTAGGCGTTGGGCCCGTCGATGCCTGCGTCGAGGAGCGCGGCGCAGACTGCCGCTTTGTTCTTCTGGAAGGTGTCGCACTCCTTGTCGTCCTGGCCTTGCACGCTCTTCTCGATCGCGCTGCTCCCAGCGCTGTTGCTGTCGTTCTCGGGCTTAGGCTGGTCCTCCTCGAGCTGTTCCTCGCAGTCCGCGTCGCCGTCCTCCGCGTCCTCCTGCTCGTGCTCATTTGCGCCCCCCCTTGTACGGGACGTCTTGGCAGCAGGCAGGGGTTGCTGCGCTGACGGTGATGAGCCCGCTCTCGTACGGGAAGTCTCGGCATCAAGCGGGGATTGCTGCGCTGGCGTATTTGCGTCCCCCCCCGCACAGGACGTCTTGCCAGCAATCGGGGGTTGCTGCGCTGGTGTGGGTGCGTCTGGTAGTGCAGCCCTCGTCTGGCGCTCGGCTTTCGCCTGGCCAGCTGCTTCGGCTCGGCGTGCGGCAGCAGCTCGCGTAGCCACCTCTGCACGCGCCTGCAGGTAGACCTCCGTGGGGTAGGCGACCGCTGGCGGCGCAGGGCGCGCGAGGTCTGGTTCGCCCAGGAGCCGCTCCGCTTCGAGGTCCGTGTCGGGCGGCGCGTTCTGCTCCTCGGGCTGCACGTCGCCCTTCCAGTCGCTCTGGTGCCCATCATGGGGCTTACTCTGGTTGGGGACCTGGATCACGATGTACCTCGCCTGTGTGTTGATGCCAGCTGCGCGAAGCCCCGCCTCGCAGGCGTCGCGGTGCCGCCTGCGGGCGAGTCGGCGCGCCTTGCAGGCGCCGAAGCGGTCGATTTCTCTCTGGCGCTGGTTCGAAGGCCGCCACTCGTTCGGGCAGCCCCCCTCGTTCCTCGTCTCGTTGTGCTTCCATGGCTCGGGGCTGGCCCTGGCGCAGAGCTGCCGCCCGCGCGCCAGGCTGGCGCCCATGAGGTCCATCCCCACAGCGGCCCGCCCCCCACGATGGGGGGGAAATGGGGTTGGGCCACAATGGATACGTACCTTCCTCCTCCTCCTCCTCCTCCTCCTCCTCCTCCTCCTCCTCCTCCTCGGCGTGGGCCTCCCCCCGCCTTTGGAGTAGATATTGGCTGTTTTTTGGCACCCGTTTCGAGCAGGTGGAACCTCCCCCTGTAAGCGACGCGCTGCTCCAAAGAGCCGCAGTACGCAGAGGTCTGGAGCCGCACCCCCCCCCCTCCCCCCCCTTTCGCCCACTGTCGAAACGCCGGATGAAAAGGGTTGACCAGCCCGAGAGCCACGACGGGCCCCCCGTCGTGCCGTTGGTTCCCCCCGGCGCGAGCGCTGAGCACGCTCGGCGCGCGAGCCCCCCGGAGGAGGACGGCGCCTATGGGGCGCGGGCGCGCGGCGCGCGCGTGGACGTGCTGGAGGGCGACCCCCTCGCGGGCAGGGCCGCCTCCAGCACCCTGGTGGGCCCCCGCTCCTCCCCAGGCCCCCTCGAGTCGTGACGAAACATCGCGACGCGAGGCTGCTTTTCGCCATTTTCTGCGCCTGGGGGCCCTCACTGGGCCTCGGAGCCTCGGGGCCGTCAAGAAGCGGCTCGGGAGGAAGATCTGGTCCCCGGGACGAGGTCCAGTTTTCTGGGAGTCACGTCGTGACAAAAAATCACGGCGTCGGGGGTCTGGGTCCGAGGGGCGGCCTGGCCTTCTTCGGCGGAGCCC